TAAGGGACACTTTCAGCTTCCCAAACTCTGTGGTGTCAAGCTTCCTCATACTGAGTCACTGCCCATCTGATCCAACTTGCGGAGCGCATGACTCTGACGAGGACGAAGAAGAGGAGGAGGACTCTTCGTCTGACCCCTTTGTCTTTGGGAGTTTAAAACATTTAGCGCACAACTTGCGATCTGTGGGACGTGTGTCCGTGAGATCGTAGTCGGCGTGGTGCCTGGCAAACGGCCAAGAACATGCAGCTCGCCATAAGTAGTGGGGCAGGTGCGGACCTGAGCGACCCACTTTGTGAACCTTCCCGTCCGGAGCAAGGTTTACGACGAACAAAGGGCATGCTGGCACAGGTACGTCAGGTACCAAAGTGTTTGCGGCTTCGCAATCGGCTAAGACTTCAATCTTTTGCGCGGTGAAGTCTGTTGTAGCCGTGCGATTTGCAGAATCCGGCACTTTGGCAAGAATGGCCGCGAGTTCGGCTCTTGCAGCTGCCAGGGAAGTCTGCAAGGTGGCCTCCTGTGCGAGGCCAAACAATTGAGATAGCGGTGCTTCTCGGACGTATCGAAGGAAGCAATCCGATCCCCATCGACCAAAGAGCTGTATACGCCACAGTTCAGTGTGCATATGTGCAAGGTGTATGGCACCTGTGGCTCTGGCCGAATGACCGGTAAACCTCCTAAGGCCTGTGTCCGTGAGGATGGGAAGTTTGAGCTGTTTGCCCAAATGCTCAAACGTGTCGGCCCAGCCGGCTTTGGTCGATGTAGACCCGTCCGGTTGTGGTAGGAGGTGAAGAAAACCGTGGCGTTTGCACCATTCAACTTGGGCAGACATGAGGTGAAAGGGACATAGGCGGTCTTTGCTCTTTTCACTGCACGCGCACATGTGAGTTCTGACGGCTCCCAGAGCTTTCCAGTCTGCTTTGCTAGATGGAAGTTTCCGGTGTATCAGACCAGTGCTGTCATCCACCGTGACGTGGGACACATTGGCATAGCTTGCTTCGATTTCTCGAAGGAGCCACCACGATGCCAGCAATGTTGCCCGGACAGGAAAAGCTGGGCCCCCAGGTGCAACAGCCGGCTCGGTGTGCTGTAGTGCTGCCAGTTCCTTCATTGGCAGGGGTTGGGCTTGCTTGGCAGGCCCGCGGCCGCGCTGACAAGCTCGCTTGGCTTGTTTTGCCGCCAAGTTGAGCTGTTGTGTCCACGCTTGTCCTGCGCTGATATGAGCTTGGCGGGCAGTTTCCAGATACTGTTCTGTCGAGCGATATCCCGCTTTGTCTAATGCCCCTGTCACTGTGAAGATGAGCTGAGGTGTGAGCACGAACGGTGTCGAGAATCCAGCTGCCGATGCTATTGCCGCCCAGGTTTTCTCTTTAGATTGAATGGGCAAACGCGATGATTCAGCTTTGGCTCGCTTTCCGATGTGCTCTGCGCACTCGTTTGGGTGCAGAGCTGCTTCATGAATAGCCAACTTCAGGGAGCCCCTGGAGTAAGGTTTTGCCTCCAGACGGTGGCTCTCCTCCTGTATGGTTGTGCCATGGCTTGGTGGTGCGTGACAAACCACCGGGCCTTCGTCCAATGGCCGCAAACCTTTCGGTGGAGCCTGGACTTCTGGCCTCTTTGGATCGTACAGGAAACGTGAGGGACCCAAAGAGCGTTTCATGCTTGAGCCATCCCTATCACGTCCGCCACTAAATTTCTTGAGTACGATCCGCTTTAGGAGCTGTTTGACCCGTTTTGTTTATATGTGTGTGGGTTTGACCAAGCACACAACGGACTCCTGCGCTTTTCTCTTCGAAGGGTTTGAGCGGTCTCGGGGAGAAGCCAAAACTCAGGACCTACTTCAATGAGAACGCGTGTTGCGCCCTGAATGTTCTCAGGAAAAGGTGGAGGATTGGGGTCATGTTGTCGACTGAGAGGGTCTGCAGTCTTGTTCAGCTTGGTGTTGATGTGTTGGAGTATGGTGAACTCGTATTTCTCGTTCGCTTGGTCCAGTGCTATCTCCCTGGCGACCATCGACAGTTCTGGGGAGCTGGAACTGCCCTTTGCAATGAGGTAGAGGGTGCCAATGTTTTCCGCCTTGACACGTACCACTGACCCAATTGGGTGTTTGGTGAGCCACGTCCGAGCGGCTAAAAGTAGGCGCAATGCTTCCCAGAGAGTCATGTGTTTCGGGATGCCAGGGATTGCCCCAGTTCGGAGGATGAATTCCGGTGGGATAGGACACGAAAAGAATTCTTTGGGTTCACCTTGTTCCAACATAACTGCACCCAATCCCCACGTGGAGGCATCCGTAAGGATGATCACTCCCGAGGTCGGACGGAACGCCCGAAGAGTGCGCACCAGCGGAGTCTGTTTTCCCTCCAGCACGGCTCTGATCCATTCTAGGGCGTGCCTTATGCGGCGAGTGTGCACAACATTTCTGGTTCTAAAATTAGAACCGTCATTCGTTGTGGCAAGCACTGCCCACACAGCTCCCAGAAACGGACGCATGAGCGGCACAATGCCTGCAACGAAGGATAGAGCTCCCGCTAGAGATTGTAGCTGTTTTCTTCCTACAACCGGTTTTGCCAATATTGCGTCAATCTTCTGAACTAACTCCGCAACTTTATCCGCAGGTATGGTCACTTTTATGGTTTTGGTGTCGTGGCAGGCTTTGATGAGGGCACCAATCCATTTGACTTCGTTTCCAGCATCAGTCTTCTCCAGTTTGATGGGGAACCCAGTGATTGCAGCCCATAGCAGGGACTTTCCCAGCAGTGTTTTGAGTGCGGGATTCTGTGAATCGAACACCATGATGGGATCGTCCACGTAAACCTGCATGGCAACCTCGGGGTTTATAACTGCGAGCGTTCGTCCAAACCAGGCAGCAAAACGTCCCCACAAAGTTGGTGAAGAAACGGACCCGAACACCAAAACGTCGAATGTGAGAATTTGTTGGCGGCCATCTATGTTCACCACGGCAGAGGTATAGGCCCTGTCTTTTCCCGCGGGAATGTTGTGGAATGCATCGCGGACATCAATTGCGAAGAATGAAGGTGTTCCTCCTCTTCTGAATACGTCCAGAGCGTCTCCTACAACATCGCTAAGGCGGGGAAGAAGAATTCTCTCGCCTTGTGAACACAATTTGTTGACACCACTTTCTCTAAGGTCCCAAATGATGCGGGCTTTCCTCTTGCCAGCCCTCTCTTTAACAATTACACCCAGCTTGTTGAAGGTCGGTTCGATCCCCACCTTACACGTTGCCTCCTCGACCGAGTCCGATAATGAACAGAATCCTTTGTCCAACGCATCCCGAACAAGTTGGTTGAGGTCTGATTCAAATCGTTGGCTGAAGGATGATTTTGCCAGCCTTCAAATTCTCTGGCCAGGAGTTTGGCTGCTTCAAGATCCCACTTCATCGACTCCACCGGCGGGAATATGCCTGTGTTTGGAATAGGTTCCGAGAAACCCAGCGGTGCCCCGGTTTGTAACCAAGAGGCGAGAGTCACTGAGTCCGGATCCCCCGTGGCTTTTCCCCATGCCCAGAAAATCTCGGGTTGAAGTGGGTACGTGCTGTGGCCGACCGAATGGGCAGACCCTCGATGTCGTTTCCCAACACTTCTAACACCGAACTTCTCAAGTGGTTAATGAGACGTGAGTCCAGTGGTTTTGCCGCTTCGCCATTTAGGAGGTGGTCAACCTGACTGAGAACGGATTCGTGTGAAGAGGCCAGGTGAAGTAGTTCTCCTATAGCGTTTCCAAAATGTAGTGATTTTGGGATCTTTGCGGCTGATGTAGCTGGGTTTCGCATTCCTCCTATTGCTGCCTCGTTTTCGATATCTCTGAGCTTCTGAGCTCTATCCAGCAATTGCGGCCCGTAAAAATTGCCGTGCCCTCAGCTTCGTGAGGGTGCGAGCTCTCCTTTCAGAGCTGTGAGCATAGCCGTTGCTCTGGACATGCTGACACTCACTGTGGCTTGGGCCAATGCGTAGTTCAGCTGTGGAGGATACCCTGCCAACGCTTTGCTGGCTCTCTCCTTCTTCCCCTCGTCGTTTGTTCTCCATCTCTGCACCAAGGATTCGTGTGGTGCTTTGTAGGTGGAGCCGTCCGTTCTCGTCCACTGTTGAACTGGGTGGTTGCATCTGAGGTCTCCGATGCCCCAAAAGTTCATGTGGAACGACATCAGCTTTGTGGGCTTCCGAACTTCTGCTCCAAACCTGCATGGGTCAAATTCGGTGATCCATACGTTGAACTCTCTGACGAGGAACTTCAGGGGAGTGGTCTTCCATAGGTCCAGCTTGTCTTTGTGATCTGGGTTCTCGATCCAGAAGGCCCTGCCCGCTGTAGCTTGGATTTCCGCGAGCCTTGCTGATAGCGCGATGAGGCGGTTTGCCTCTTTGAGCTGAATCCTTTCACTTTCGGTCAGCTCTTCGCTTGGCAGCCCATCTGGCTTATCCAAAGATCGCAGCGGTCTTGGGCCTGGAGGTGATTCCCTGAGCGGTGATAGTGTTTCACACGGGGTTGCACACCCCACCACATCGTACATGCCGGTTTCCGTGTCGGCTAGGATCTTGTCGAGGTTGTGCTCTGAAAGCACATCGGTGGGCTCTGGCGCCACCTTATCGACGATGACCACGATCCATCCTTCTGCTCCGAGGTAGCTAGCCAAGTCCCCGGGTCTGTGCTTGCCGCTGAATACCAACAGGCATCTCGGTTGGTCAGCCCACAGTTCCGGTTCCAGGTTTGTACAACCGTACCTGTACTTGTGCCACCTCGTCACTTTGGGAAGGTCTCCCACGGAGGAGATGTTCTTTGCAGTGATCCACAGGGGAAAGTCGCTGATCCTTCTCTTGATAGGTGTTTTCGACCGGCTCCTGCGGCGGGATTTTCTCCTGCTTCTCGACCTGCGGGTCTCACGATCGGGCTGACTCCCGCTAGGGTGTGAATCACTGCCACGCCTTGGTGGGGGGCCAATTGGTGACGCTGGCCTCCTCTTGGAGTTGTCTCCCTCTGGCGTGGGCGTAGGCGGAGGAGCTGGCTTCGCTTTTGCCGATGTCCCTGGTGTGGCCGGGTCTGTCCCGGGAGCCGTAGTCAGCGTGGTGTTTCCACCTTCTCAGCTCTTCTGTCGCTTGCCGCCTGTGCACTTCGTGGCCATATGCGGGCCAAGACAAAGGTTGCATTGATGGCTGCAATTGTTCGGGCATCGGGATTGCGCTTTGCCATTGCCGCATTGATTGCGGTTGAACTTCTGACAGATCTGTATCCCCTTCCGGTTGAGAGAGAAGGCGCCAGCTTGCCCGTCCCAATGTGAAAGGTCTTCACCGGCGTACTTCCTCTTCTTCTTCTTCGGAGGTTGATCTGGTCTGACTTTCTTGCCTCCTCGGTCTGAATCGGATGAATCCCCGTCCTGTCTGGCTGGCAGGGATTTGTTCCGTGCTAGCAGTAGGGTTGCTGGTGTCACGACTTCTTTGGTCCAAAAGTCTCCTTCTTTGACAGCCTGTGCAAACACTGCTGACCAAGGGCTTGCACGGGTGTAGCCATAGTTCGGGTTTTCATCCAAGGCTCGGCGTATCCTGTCCTGAAACTCGGATCTCATACGCACGTCAGCCCTATAGATGATCCCCCAACATTCATGGCCAAACTGCCCATGAAGCTCTTTGATGTGATCTGCATACGCGTCCAATCGCTCGGATTCGGCTGCCTCCAGGAGAAGCAAGGCCGAAAGGACTTCTCCCAGTTGAAGATCGAGTCAGGCCCTGGAGCTTCGCTCTTGGACCACTCTCCTGTGGCAACATTCAGTACGTAGGAGGTGAACACTGCTTTTCTCAGTTGTCGGAGTCCGTGGGGTCCAAACACACTGAAATCGCAATATGGCAGCGCGCCACTTCGCAACATTTGATTGATACCCGACAGTTGGTCTGCCGAAGGTTCCACTTCTTGGCTTGGATGGTCACCGAACTTTGCCTTGTATGTACTATACATGCGTGCCACTTCTGACTGCTCTAGCTGAATAATCTCAGCATCCAGCGTTGGGTCGATCACGCTGCTCAGTTTCAGCTTCCTCGTGGGAGAGGTTGGTGTTGAAGTACTTGGCAAAGGTGAGACTCCGATGGACACTACTGGCGGTGCGGTTGACGATCCAACGTGATCTGGATTTGCACCAAGCCGAAGTAAGGTGACCCTTCGGAATATCTCGATTCGAGAAGCCTCAACTGGGGTGAGGTCTCTTTCACTGGTGGTTGTGCCAGATGAAGTATCGATCTTTAGCCCTGCCACCACGTTGTCCCAGACCGTCCGGTTGATGAAGGCAATGTCCCGCAGTTTTGAGGGCTTGCCCAGAGCATCCATCAATTGTTCGTGGACTTCTCCAGTTGCGCCGGCCCAGTCTGCAACATGCTGAAGGGTGGCCATATTATTGAGCTCTGCGTCGGTGGGGTCCATGGCTGATCACGGGACCTTCTCTCAACGGTGAGCTCTTGGTCGAATTGGGTCTGCCTCCTGGCAGATGCTTTTGGGCTTGCCACCGCAAGCCTTGCCCTTCGTAGGGTTGTAGGTGTGCCGTGCTCGGTGTTCCGCAAAGAGTAGTTGCGGTAGTTGGAGAAGGCAAGGCTTATGAGGCGGCGACGAGACACAAACCTTATGGCCTTCCTGGTGAGGATGGCCCAAGGTGTGTCACCCACTTGGAAGCGAGCTAGTGGGTTGACCACTTTCCACGCGGCCCAAATGGAGTGGGCCTTCCACCCGATCCACACACCCACCACCAGGACGCTCAAGAGCACACCGGTGATGAGTGGCCAGATGCCCAGATGGTTTCCCACCTGAGGGCCTGGTACCGGATCCCAGGTGGCCTCTCCCCACCTAACCAAATGGGCCATGAACGGAAAAGATCAAACCCCACAGGCTCTTGAGCCAAAATGGCCCAAACGAGCTGCGGATGGTAAGTCCCTCCCACAACTCCCCTTCTGATTGTGTCTATTGTTACTTTCACAATTTCTTTGTTACACACAAAAAAAGAAAGGATGCACCAGAAAGACCTGACCAAACATGCACCGCATGAAGGTGATGTCCACCACAGTGACCAAAGTCTGGGAAGAAGAACAAAAGGATTAGAACGGGATGTCACAATGCCCGACAAAAGGTGAGACAACTGGGTGGAGACATGTGGGGGACCTATATGTTTGGACAATTTTGTTCTTCGTCTTCCAATGTCTTCCAGAACCAACCTTTGGCAGGCTATGTTCCTGTATATACGTTCTACCTTTTGAGACGGTGTAGAAGTACCAATGTTTGTCAGAAGCAAGGTGCAGGATAGGACATTGCACTGACAAAACTGGAGCCCCAGCATACTTGGGTGGCGTTGGACAATTGTATACCAGCAGCTACAAGCAAGGGACCCCAGGGGCCTCATTGCAAACCCCAAAACTGAGGGTCTTATATGGTTTTCCTAGGGAGTCTACGTAGGCAACAGCAAAGGTTCTAGACCCCCCCTGAAAACCCGCGTAGTGGGGTCTTAAATGATGTCCTTCACCACATGTAAACTGCTCAAACCAACTTCAAACCGCCCTTATGGATTCTTGTGGGTTCTGGTTAGGACTCCCAACTCGTCAAGCGCCACCAACCTCCGGCTCAAGTCAGGAGTCATCGCTAGTCGGTCTAGCTTGCAGTGACCTGCCTGACCTATCCTGACCTCACAAAAGAAAAGTTTCGCGCTCGGTTGGGATGAGCTCTCCAACTCTATTTGGCCCACTGGTGACCATACATGTCAAGTGGACACTTCATCCTAACACACCTTCACAAAAACAACCAGCAGCTTTCCAAAGGAGAGGCAACACCAGTGAACCAAATGAAA